ATATTTATATTTCACTCTTGTTTATCAAACCATGAAACGACTGAAGTTATTATAAATAATTTAAAATCTGATTAATTGAAATTAGTGAAGAAACAAAATCAATAAAGACAACATTTGAAAATAGGTAGTGACTTAAAGGTATGGACATTCAAGGTTAACGCATGAAATTGGTCCTACGTATGAATAATTTACAAAGCAAGAACATCTAAGGAAAATCATTATTTAATTTTGTAGTTTTCCATGTCAGGTGAATCAAAACTAAACAACACATAACACAAACAACAGGCTTGTATTAATTGTGTCAAATAATGTTAAACAATAATTAAAATGTGCGATTCTCCTATGTTGCTCCATGCCATGTGAAATGAGTAGTATTCTTGATACATAGTTCGATGGACGTACCACGCATGCGCAAGCCCGGGCCACCCAATGCCGCAATCGATTGGCAGAGCTTTCTGTTTTCGAGTTAACAATCGAGATTTTGTTAGAGAATCTGCTGACCAATCAGATTACACATGATGGGAAGGGAAGAAAAATACTTGTTTAAAAAATATGCCTTTGGAAATAAAAATTTGAATACATCTGAATTGAGGATGGCTTACGAAGATTAACAAGGGAAATGTCACATGTGTACAAGCAAAGCCTGTAGCCCCTCCAAAAAAGATTGTGTCGAGCGCGTGAATCAGATCCTGCCGAAAGTGCGTACCCTTAACACGGACACTCGAATCAGGGGCACACGCATCAACTGCAGGTTATTCGAACAATAACGAAGAGGAGACCCTCTCGGTCAATTTTATTGAAAAAACTGTCAGCCTGTGATGACTTAATCTCCTGTACGAATCAGATTTCCTTGTTCCTGAAACGTCGGCGAAACACACCCAAAGCTTCACAATTATTTAATCGCATTCATAGTAAATTTCAGAGAAATAATGTTATGGATACAAAGAGCCACTTCTTAAATAGAATTTTTAATTAAATTTGTATTTCTTCTCCATTTAATGATAACACGTGGTAGTAATGAACGGTAGTTGCACATAATAGGCTTGTATTTTTTTTCAATTTCGGAGTGGTATTTAGACATATTTAAAACTTCTGATTCCACTTTGTCTGAAATAAATTTTGAGGACATGGTAGAGTTGTACTTTAATTTGAAAATATAATTAAGTAAATGAGAGATAATAGGGGTTTTATGTTTGTTTAGTTTGGTCCGAATTCTTTTATGTATTAGAATTCATCATTAACAGATTCAGTCGAAGACGGCTGTCCTCGTAGCGACGTGTAGTCTGGTTGAAATTTACTAACGTTACAGGCGTCCTTATTGTATCCATCATCAGGACGCTTATGGTCAACCAGAAGCAATGAATCAATTTGCGAACTATAATCAGGACTCAAACGGTCCCTTTATCTTTGATTTATTATCACAGGGCATACGATATCAAAAAGTCGCAAGATATCCGATGCGGAAGACAGTAATCGTGTCATATTTTAGGTTACTATCCAAGAATGTACCTCGAGGGACTTGTAAATAGAACCAACAAATCCAGCTAATACAATCGGTTTCAGTATAAAACTTTAAACTCACGACTTACTGAGAACGAGGTAGGAATGATAACCACAAAACGACGACGTCCGATTTTGTATTCTTAATCTCGATATCTCTGAAAACATACGCTTTAGACAAACCGTACAAAGACAAGTGTAATTTATCATGACAAAATTAAACCAATTCTAAAAGTGAAGTGTATGCAGCACCAACAACAAAAAGGTAACGAACTAAGCATGCTCTACCATAATCAACGGACAATCGAATTACACACGTGCAGCCGAGACGCCACTAAAATGCAATGCAATCTTGATAACATTAATCTACAAACAGGCTACTCATGACATGCTATATATGAGTATACAGTACATGCATGTTTAACTTCAAATCCATCTTCATAGATTTATCAATACTTGTGTGTCCATTTATTTATTCTGAGACTTACGTCTTAATTTTAAAATGTAACCACAAACTAAATCTGTAATATTTCTTCGGTTTATGGAGTCCACATTGAGATTATATTAGTATTTTAATTATTTTAACAAATTTCGTTACATGAAAGCATGAAATTTGTTTACGGTAACTACAATGATAGTATTGTTATATTATATTTCAATATATTACTAATTTTAAATAATTTTAACTGAGATTCGTTTTCAATGTCACGACTCTCAGTTATGTGTTGCCCAGTGAAAGGACATTCATTCGTTCTTTCTTTTCTGATACATTTCTTTTCTCTTTCCGTCCTGTCATTTACTACACATCGTTGCAAACATTTGTTTCACTCCGAAGCCAAAGTTCTTTCGTTCTGAAACACGTTATTTTTTGCATCTATCTCGTTTGCTTTTACAAAACTGTACAGTATAAATTTTTACTTCTACCCACAATTTAACTTTAAAATAATCAGCCTCTTACAAGTATATTACCGAAAAAAAATGCTTAGCGAATATATCCGAACTCTCTCGTGACCGTAGAAGGGAGGAGATTACTCGACATAAAAACAAACGAAAGTAACGATTGACCACGCTAAATGTAAATTTAAAAGTTTTCGGTTTCCATTCCATTAATGTGTTTGTATCCGTGGGCCTATATAAGAGATTTTAAATTAAAAGTATATTAAAATATTGATGACAAGTTACTGATGGATGAAATTTATCCTGCTTCTAAAGTACAGAATAATTCAGACAAACATTACAGTATTATATTTCAACATTTTAAATCGCATTCCACGCACTTACTCTCTTATTCCAAACCAATTTCGGTCTTACAAAACTATCCCCAGTATATTTCATTCAGCTAATAAAATAAATCTGGTTCTTAAATGTTAAAGTAGGTGGTACAGGCTGTGCAATCTAGTTACCACTGCTAGGCTTGACTGGATCTCTAATACTGATGATGGACGGTAAACCCATGCATGTATAGGTGTCCAAAAATATGTAACACATTCAATAGATAAAACAAAGACATTTTAATAACCACATCAGTACATTGGCGCTTGGTGAGTTAGCGAATCTTGTGCAGGTATTCAACATAACCACCGTTAACTTCATGGCACAGATGACAGCGGTTAGAAACTGACGGACAAGCGGCCACCAAAAGTTGGCGCTGTGTACATATTTTGGGACATTCTGTACTTACGCTGTAGAGTCAGAATGTGATGTTTCAGCACTGAAATATACCCTGAGCATCGGCTGACACGGTAAAATAGGCAAAGTTATCAGTATTATGTACCAGTATATATAAAATGTACAGCGTTTAATTATTATCTCAGAACTAACATATTCTAATAGCAGTTCGGCTGAGAAATTATCCTTTCAAGGCGGATTACAAGGTTTTCGGAATGTCTGATTCGGTCACGACCTCAGCAGCGTATCTGAGTCGTCACAAAGTCTGCTTCTGACACAAAGTGTTATACAAAGACCGTTCCACATGAACCATGTCATAATAAGCAGTGTCGACATATAGAAGTAAAGGATGGCTTGCCTGAATATATATAACCTGCATGTGGTCGGAATGAGAGACCGGTTTTATGAGCAGAGCGCGTCTAAAAGACCTTAAACATTCTGTTTCCTGACGATATATGCATAAAAGTAATTGCTGTCGAAACGAAATTCATAATTGCACTCTGTCGGCGAAATGCCAATTTAATGAATGTTAAAACAGATGGTACATGTAATCACCACAATGCTGTGAAGAATTAATAAATAGAGAATTCCGTTTAACAACGTACTTTAATCGAAGGTTATCACATCCACGTTCAAACGTTTTCTGGAATAACTAACGGAAGGACAACATCATAGCAGGAAATTAATCCTATCGGGATGAAAGCACTTGGGCTGATGATGGATCCTCTATCCGACGTTTCTACACATACATCATCAAAGCCGTGACGCTGTCCATCATCGCTTAGTTAAGCTCTGCTATACAACGCGACAGCTCGCACTACTAGCAAGTTTAGCCTCGGCAAATCATATCCATTTTACGATCAAATTTCTGACAAGGAACTTATTCAGCATTGTTAGTAGTAAATTTATTGATTCTTAGAATGTTCATCGGTGTTGTAACAGCTATGACAGGATTGTAAATGTTCAAAAGGGGATAATTTGGAAGCGAGATATCCATCCGCAATCCGGCAATCGCCATTAAAAATATCTGGATATCTGGTTTACGGTCCAGAATTCGAATCTGATACCTCTAGAAAACAGCTTAACCGCTGGGTTAAGCGTCTAGATAGAATACTATACATTTAACAACTCAAAAACTTACTAAATTTTAGTTACAGAACCTTTTATAAAAGGTACAAAATGTTTATACAGATGATGAGATTGCAAATTAACACCTCAGGGAGGGCGGGAATCATCCCGAAGGAAAATCAACTAATTGTTACAACAAAATGAACAATCATTTGCTCATACCTTGAACTTTAATGGTCTTAACAGATATCTGCCTACAGTAACTTAAAAAATAATCATTTGTACTTGAAACGAGGTTCCATACACATCCACCACAAGGACACTGGGGCTTGTGGGATAAGCTGTACTATAGTACAGTTCAAAGACTACAACGTAGTGAAGGCCATACTGTATTCAACAGTAATTCAATATCATGGCGCCCATAGTAAAGCTCATGCTATTTCAACATGAAGACTATCATTATCTAGAATATTTTACAGGGAAAGGGAGAAGTTCTAGGGTCACTGAATACTCGGCTCTGAAATTCTGTGAATATGAACTATAATTTTCGCGTATTGTTATATGAAACAAGAACACAATTTTCAGCACAAACTTCACAATAATTACGATCCCCCCAAAATAATCAGTTACACGAAAAACAGCCTATATTCCGCTGAACTGAATGAATGAGCTCATATGATTCTCAGTATGTAAAGACGATGCATGCCTACAGCTAAGAATTACAGTCGAATGGAGACGGATTGCGTCACCAACAGACAGCTCACCTGTGGGTAGGCTAGCTGTATCTCATTTGGGCTCGCAGAACGGTGGTCCTGCAGCGTCATGAGGGCCTGTGTGAGGGGAAGCAGAGAACCCGGGATTCGACCATCGTGACCGGCCTGCAACAATCAATATGACAACAGGGGATTGGCAGTGCGGCTTTATTTAAGTGGCGCAGGCGACTTCCAAGACAACTTAAATAAAAGCAAGCCACATCCCCTCCGTCAAGTGGGCGTGTTATTTCCACACCCATGTTGATTCAGCCTGTCCCTGTCAAGACGAAATCAGCAGGTAACAAACGGGTGACCGAGGCAGCAAGCACCTCTGAAACGTCAGTCAACTTCTACCGGAAGACAGCCATCTTCATGCTAATATTCTTCGCCGTGAGAATATCAAATTTCACCTTGACTTTTATTGTTATTTTTTAATATCCGTCTCATATATGTTTTACGTATAGGACTTTCATTTCACTGATTAATTAATCATATTGTTATTTTTAATACTCTTAGCTTTACTGTTTATAATTTTTTTGTATTTAATTACGTGTTGACCTATTAGGCAATAGTTACGCAATGGATTTCATCTGTGCTTCATATAAACCTAATTTTATCTGTGCACGGAATAAATTCCAGTTTATGTATGTCTACCCGCACAGACGCACACGAACAAGTTTTAAAACTGTCACAACCACAATAAAATATGTATATATTATTGCGGTCACACATTTGTACCACTTTGTGTTAGTCTTTAAAAAGCTTAATGCTATAATTAAAATATATAAAATCTGTGAATGTTCGCCTTTGTAATGCGGAAAGTTGGATAACCTTTATGCTTTGTGTTGGGAAACTGAAATTTTGCCAGTGAAAAGGGTGACTGCTGATGGTTACTGTCCATTACTATTTGCTGGGAAATAATTAAAGTCTGCATGCTTCACTGAGACAAGAAAAAATGTTTCGTGCGTAGGCCTGTATGATAATTGGGACATGCTCTATGCATAATGTATCAAAATACACACGGACTGATACTGTGCTTAGCGAAATATTCAACTAACTCATCTTTCAGTATTTCAAGAGAACTAAAACCCTCATTCGCAATTGGCATGCAATAAATCCACGAACGACAACAAAAATAAAATTTGCGTAACAAATTAAAGACACTAATTTTCTTTCTCGAGATTTCTGGGGGTACCGAGTACTACAGTTGGTGGACTGATAGGTGAGATGCTAGAGGTAAGAGGAGTTGCAGAGTAAGGCTGGACACAGTGTGGATTGTGGAATACAGGATATTCCCACGACTCAGAATTCCACCAAAATGTGAAACCATACAATTTTGTGGGACAAGTCTTCGACATAAGATGCTATGCCTCGTAGCGATACATAAAAATTGAAACAACCACAATTAATACGAAATTTAAGACTTGCAACGGTAATAAATTATTGAAAAGTGATATTCAAACATTTTAATACATTTTAAATTACCCAGGATTAGGTATGAAATACGGATTTCAGAGACCTATAACAATTCGATAATGGTGCATCCTGGGGCGGCTTTTGACGATTTCCAAATAGCACAACTTTAAACCTACAAAGCTCATATAACAAACTAAACGTACAAATACAACACAAATAAGAAAACAAGATTTATAAGTCTGTCATAAATCGAAAAAAGACGATAAATTCAAACTGTAATAAACTTCCAGACGAACTCGATTTTAATTACCGGTTATAACGGATAATAACTTCAAGGAAGTCAGAACCGAATCTGCACTGTTTTCTCTTATTAGCTTAAATACCATCCTCTATCCTAATGCAGCCCATGAGACCTGACACGATATACTGACCGAGCCAATGGGGACACATTCTCATTTAATTACTCGCTGTGACTACAGCTCACTTCCTCCCGTTACAAGGACGGTCGCACCAAAATGCACGTCCCCTTTTTACTGAGTGTCTTACCTGTCAGTGTCGCGACCTATTACAGAACGTCCAACTACACCATACGGTTCATCTTACTTCTTTTCTTCAGCATTTTACAAACCGTCACGTTCCATCCCTCTATACCATCTGCCTTTCCTACACTTTGGAAGCTAGAATCATCCTTTCACCAAAACCCTTTAATTTGAGTAAAACACGAGGCGTCTCCTCTAATTCCCACGGGATCAATCCTTTTCAATTCCCAACCAGGCCATAAGCCAACAAGACCACCAAGCCGACGCCTACATTGCGTTCCCTTGAACTAGACGTTCGCTGGGGACACAAATACGTCAGCTCAAACACCACCTAGCGACGACGATCGGAAGTATTAGTGCTGTACGAAGTAGCTTATTAGTTGTGAAAACGTAGACTGTTATGGTTCGATCTAAACGTGGTTTATCCTCTTCTTTGACCGAAAATCAAAAGGCCTATTATTAATAAACAGATATATACGGAGAAATAAATTTACACTGTTACAATAAGCCACTTGGAGATAGTCAAAGTCTAGAAATTTCTAAAATATTTCTGTACTTGAACTTACATACTGATTAGCTGTTTTAAATTTTATGAGAGGTCAAAGGAAAAATTAATGATTTACATGGAGGCTGAAAGTCAATCAGAGATAATCAAGGACTGAAAATAATTCTTTAAAACAAATTTACGACGATAATCTGCCACTGACAAGAGTGCGCTGTGCGTCCAACTAGCATTTTAATGGAAGGTAAAATCACAAGCAGAAACTGAAACAAAGCATAAATGAAGCTTTGCTTAAAACGTGGGCGTCTGTCTGAAATTCACGAGACCTCAACTTCTAACCAAAGTAAAACACACGTGAATCACATAAACAAATTACAGCCTGTTTTTTTTCAGAACAGGGACAACCAAAGATGAAGAAGAGAAAGGCGCATGCGCAACCATCGATTGCACGCAATTCTGGGCGTCCTAGCGTTCCACGTGGCTCAGTCCACTGCACACGCTGTACACGTCAGATCACATGACCCCAGCTACAATTGCACGCTCATCTGTAGTGGCTTATTCTGAGTTCTATCCTCGACGCTTGCCGAACCTCCTTGACCTTTTGAAAGACAAGATGGCGTAACTGATAATGCTGTAGCACCAGGCAGCGATGAGTATCTGGTTCAAATATTATTTATATGCGCTCTTAGCAAAAATAGGAAAAACGAATACATAACAAGAATACTATATGTCACAGTCCCAATGTCTCATCAACCAAACCGGAGGTTTTGTATGATCCTCAAAATAGACAGTGATAATTTCCTTAAAATGTCATCAACCAGTTGAGCCCTGTTTTATATTATCGGAGGCAGAAATTTAATTGTTATATACTATTTAGATGGGCTTCGGATTCGACTAGATGACAAGATGAAATATTTTGGTTAATTATTTTTAGTTCAGAAACATAAAAGATTTGAGCTGCCCGTGTTAGAATGATAAGTTTGAGCTGGAAGCAGATCTATATCTTCCCGTGGCACATCTTAATTTGTTAAAGACACATGATTGCACACCACACAAAATGTCGCCTCACGAAAAGAGGGTACAAAACTATATAAATATATATAGACGTATAAGTCTTTGTCCTATAAGACAGCAAGCAATGAAATCAAACATAAAACAGGTCGGGTAAAACTACCGATGATGAATCTGTATGTGTGTGGGTGTAACGAATTCTAATTACGATAAATACGTACATTGCATTTTTTCGACGGTAAAGTGTAAATAAGTAATTTGTCATAAAATTTTGATGCACACCTGAAACCTAGTGTTGGCACATCGGTTGATGAACACTGAACTAATGGAACAATCAATTTACGTCATATCAAATGGTGAATCTAGCGCAGCCCCAGATACCTCTGGCCTTGTACCATCGTCATCTCCCTACATTCAAAAAGCCTGCATGCTTCTTAACCAACACTGGCAATACACTATTTGCAAGTAAAATTATCCATGTACGAGCAGTTTCCATGGTACTCTGAATTATTTTTCCTGAGCACGAACGCAATTTACCATAAGAGGATAGAAGACGCCAAGCCAAGTATGTACAAGCACACTTGAAATTATACGCGTACTGAACGCAAAGAACACAGAACGTGCCTTTTAGAATTCTGCGAAACTGGCATAGAGATAGGCCAAAGAAAGTATTGTGACGCAGTAGGTAAGTTTAGGGTTATTATTAAAAGAGGTGCAAAACAAATATTGATAAAAAAGTGGTAGGATTAAATATCGCTTTAATGGATGGAGTTTTATTTATTGGGTGTGGAGAAACTTCTTCGCGATATTTGCACTGACTGTTTGACCAAATGCCAAAGTACACAAATTTCACTTGAGCACAGATGCATTCCGCTGGGGACCTTATATCCTCACAGAACGTAAAAGCCTCAGATCCTGGAGTTACTTCGAGGTTTTGTTATTGGCTTGTATCAAGTTGTAATTAACAGAGACTTCTGTATGAAGACGGCTGTGGCCTGCGTTATAGCGCCATGTAGTTCGGTAGACGTTTACCGACGTTTCAGAAGTGTTTACTGCCAGAATCACGAGGACAATGAGTAAGCCACGAGCGAGGAATCTGTTTGCGATATGAGAACCAATCCGACATAGCAGAACGTTGAGTGGACCAGTGTACCCTTCTCCCATTGGCTTCCTTCATCTCGCCCGATCTTCAACCTTCTCAGAGGTTTAACGTATCGGGAGGGAACAAAATTTTCCCCGTCGCAAGAACTTAATATATTTAATATACAAGATCACTTGAAAAAGTTACATCTACTCGTATTTAATTCTTTTACCATTTAAAAGGGTCCAAGAAGAAATTAAAAAATGGTAGGCTAGAAAAAAATTCTGTGGTTAATGGTTCATATATTTAAGCTGTGTAATACCGTAACAAAAACGTTTTAAAATGAATAAAATCAACAAGTGCCATCTATGAAAGCTTTCTGAGCTGGCGAATCAAACAAAAGTATGACGTACAGCGAGAATCTGTTTTTTTAGCAGTCAGCTTACAAAACCACACCATTCATTTGTGTAAACCCTGTACACCTACGGCATCTCTAAAGTCCAACGAAAATTTATTACAATCTGCAATCAGCAATGCTTTATACCTCAAACAAAACAAACAATGCACGGCTGTACCT